CCGCCGCTGCTCGCGCCGTCGCCGGATGCGCGCGCGGCCACCGCCGCGCGACCCGGCGGGGCCAAACTTGCCGCGCCGCCCTTGGACTCCGCGCCTCCGGCCGTACCCTCGGACGGGGCGCCCGCCGTCGCGCCCCCGGCCGCAGCCGCCGCTGCCGCCCCGCCGGCCGACTCCGACTCCTCCAGCTTCTTGCTCGGCTGGCGCTCCTCAAAAGTGATGGGGGCGTGCCTGCGCTTGCGACCAGTGCTCGCGGCCGCCGCGGCGCTGTCAGTAGCGGGCGACTCGCCGCGCGGAGTGGCCGCTGCCCCCGCTGCCCCCGGCGTGCGCGCAGCCGCCGCCGGCGCCTTGTCGCCGTTGGCGGCGGCCGCCGCGCGCTGCTGCTGGTTGGGCGTGGCCTTTGGCGTGGCTGTCGCCGCTGCTGCAGAGCTCTCTTTGCGGGGCTCCTTGGCAGCGGGCTCAAAGGTGATGGGGGTGCGCCGCTTGCGCGCGCCGCCGGCGTCGGCTGCGGGCGTGCCGTCGTCCCGTCCGCCGGCCGGCTTTGGCTGCTCTTGCTCTGTGGCTGGCTCCACGGCTGCCTGCGGCGGTGCCTTGCCCGAGTCCCCTGGCTGCTTGTCCACCTCCATGCCCTCTGATTCCTGCTCAATTTCCCCCTCTGCCGCCGCCACCTCCTCCGCGCCGCCCTTCTTTGCCCGTTTCGGCTGCTGCTTTGCAGGGACAACCTCCGCCTCCCGGGCCTCCGCCGCACCCACCGCCTCGAGCTTGCCTTTGGGAGCCGGCTCAGGCGTCGCCGCCCTCTTGCCGGCGCGCCCGCGCTTGGGGGTGGTGGCAGGCGCCGCCGCGGCTGCTGGCTCCTTGGCTGCCTCATCCTGCTGCTGCTGCTCGCTGCTCGCTGCTGCACCGCCTGTCTTTTCCTCGGCGTCGGCAGCCCCTTTCGCCTCCGCCGCCTCCGCCGCCGCCTGGCCGGCTGCCCCCCTGCCGCGGCCCTTCTTGCCTGCCGGCGTTGCCTCCACCTCCTGCTGCTGCTGCTGTGCCTCTTGTTCGGCGGCCTCCTCCTCCTCGTCCTCCTCATGCTTGTTGCTTGCCGCCTTGCCCTTGGCTTTCTTTGCATCGGGCTGCTCATCTTCTAGCGCTGCCGCCTGCTGGTTGGCCACAGCGCGGCCTCGGCCTTTCCGGGACGTGGCTGGCACATCTGGCTCTTGCTGCTCCTCGCCGCCAGCTGCCGCCTGCTGCTTGCTGCCTGCGCCTCGGCCGCTGCTCTTCTTGGCCGTAGTCGGCTCCTCTGGCTGCTGCTGCTCCTGCTTTTCGCCGTCCCCTTTTGCTGCGGCCTGCTTACCTTTGGCTGCAGCCCTGCCACGGCCCTTCTTTGCTGTTGCAGGCGGCTCCTCCTCCTCCTCCTCCTGCTGCTCCTCCTGCTCCTGCTCGTCCACCTGCTCATCACCTTGCTGCTTGCGTGGCTGGCGGCCTCGTCCAGAGCTGCGCCCCTTGCCCAAGCTCTTTTGCTCTGTCGATTCCTCCGGCTCGCCTGCCTGCTCCTGATCATCGCCATCGCTTGTGACCGGCTCGGCCTTGCCACGCCCCGCCCGTCGCGGCTCAGCTGCTGGCTCCTCCGGCTCGTCCGCGCCGCCGCCGCTGTCGTCACCACCAGCAGACTGCACACACGTGGAGACAAGGTGAGAGATCACGTCGTTATGCAAGAGCAGCAGCAGCAGCAGCAGCAGCAGCAGCAGCAGCAGCAGCAGCAGCAGCAGCTGCAGCAGCAGCAGCAGCAGCAGCTGCAGCAGCAGCAGCAGCTGCGTCACGGTCACGGTCCCGTTCGCGCAGCAGCAGCAGCAGCAGCAGCAGCAGCAGCAGCAGCAGCAGCAGCAGCAGCAGCAGCAGCAGCAGCAGCAGCAGCAGCAGCAGCAGCAGCAGCAGCAGCAGCAGCAACAGCAGCAGCAGCAGGGCAGTCTGGCTTGGGTACGGCACGGAATTTCTGCGCTCAAGCTCACACCGGCCGCTCTAGCAGAGGTTAATACCCGTGCTGCTCGTGTTCCTATCCCTGCTACTCGCTCCCTCGCCCTGGACTGCCCCCCGCCCTCCCAGCCCGCGAGCCCCTAGGCGCGCCCGCACCTGCTGCTGCACCGCCTCGCGCAGCCTCTCGGCGAGCACCGCCTTGACGCCCGCGACCGCGAGGCCGCGCTTCTTGAGCTCCTCCTTCAGGTCCGCCACCTTGAGGTCGTCGATCCATGACGTGTCCACCATGGCTGTGGCGTGAGCAAGGGAGGCAGCGAGCCGGGGCGGCGTTGGCCGGGGGGCCGGGGACACGCACCTGCCGGCCTGCAGGCGGAAAACGCAGACAGGTGCGGCTCAAGCGGCGCAGCTGGCACGCCGTACTCGCCGCGCTGGCCCCAGGACACTGTGACTCCCACACAGTCCACACTATTGGCCACTTAGCCGCCAGGACAGAGCACAAGCTGCTCACCTGAGTTCTGATCTTATTGTCCAGCGCCAGTCCGCGGATGGTCACGCAGCTGCACTGACACCCCTGTTTTACTGGCAAAAATTAAGCTGCGACCAAGTCGTCACGCAGGTTGGAGCCAGTGGATGCGCTGAGATCACCGGTTGATCAGCTTGTCTGAACTCAGGATCTGTAGTAAAATTGCTGCGTTCCCAAGCTACTGACAACCTATTCCTGTCTGAACGTGGGCCCATGCGAGCACCTTAATGCGGCTGCGGAGTGGGTGCACCTCCGTCCATGTCGTTCAGTACCACAGAGGATGGGTGTTCAGCTTCTGCAGATTATGGAACACACTCACGCCCATTATGCAACCGGTGAAGTGACTGCGGCCGGGAAGCATTTCGCTGGGACCAGGTCGCAACCCCGCAAGAGTCCCGGTCCTTGTTTGACCCCGCACGCACCCTTGTACGAGGACCAGCAAAGCTCTGCCGAGGCATGGGTGTTTAGAACCCGACGGCCGCAGTGTCCCTCGTTCCCTGTGCTCGGTCCCTCCATATTCACACCGTGTGCCCATTGCATCATACCGGTATGTGCCTCCTGGGGGTGCTCGGGAGGGCCAGGGCGGGGGTGCAAGCACGCCCAGGGCTGGTCTGCCAAGTGCGCATGCGCTCCCTGTATGCTGCACATCAGCCAAGCTACATCAGGCGCCTCAGATAGGATGGCAGGCGGTATTCTGGCGCGTAGGGACCGAATGGCACGGGCCGACAAAAAGCACATATCGAGGCACCGTAAGGATGGGTAACTATGAAGTCTGGCACCTTGTCAAAGCTGCCTCCTCAGTGGCGGGGCTTGCCACACAAAAAAAGACAAGCAACACAAAATATTTGATTCTGCGCGCGGCCGCGCTCACAAGGCGCCGCTACAACATCCCCCAACGCCCTGGCTCGGCAAGCACATAGCATGCATGCGCTGCTGCTTTCCGCAGTCACCTTGAGTATCAAGGGGCAGGCTTCCCAGCTCGGAACAACATCTGCTTCTATTGCCTGCTCTTGCCGAAGCAAGTGACACCTGACCCATGTGACAGCGCATGGGCGGCCACCGCTGCCACCGTAATCTTCGCTTCCGGCGATCGCCATTGCGCCTGCGGCTGCTGTTCTTATGGTGTCCATCTCCATCTCCGGTGCCCAGTTCCGTCTACAAGGGGAGTGTGCAGTTGCATGCGTTTGCAGACGGCTTGTTTGGCGCGCAGCCAGGCATACGCCCGCTTTCGGCATGCTTGGCACCACGAGTTGCATGCAGCTGGTTGTGGCGCCTGCAGGAATTCGCAAGCAAACGTGTCGAGCCGTGTGCCCATTCCTGGGCTCCGAGGTCCACAAACCGTTACTGATCGTTTGCTTCCAGCAAAAAATCACACAATTCTAGGAGGGCACTCCTGCTCTGCAAGAGGGCGCGCTCATTCAAATTGCCCTCACCCTTTAAGCGATGTGGAACCTCGTGGGCGACCTCGCGGGTGCCGTGACATCTGCGGCGGGTGCTGTCACATCTGGGCTCACTGGCCGCGTCTGGGACGACGGCGAGGGCAAGTGAGACGGGTGCCAGCTGTTGAAGGGCCTGCCCGCTGTACCTGTATGCATGCAGAGCGTCCTGAATTGAAGCTATAGGCATACTAGGACCATATCTGGTCCAACGCATGGGGTTTGAGCCCTTGAGGCCGGGAAGCATCACTGCTGGTGCAGTCTGCCTTGGTGGAGCGCGGGTTGACGAGTGGCACAAGAACCACGGCGCGCCGTGCCGGACCCTTGCATGCAGTGTGGACGAGCTCAACAAATCTATGGCAGGCGCAGACCTCAACAAGGGGCCGACAGGCGAGGCTCACCCGGACGAGAAGGCAATCCAGGAGGTGGGTGTTCACTAACTTGGTCTATCTTTGGTCGCAAGTTGTTGGCTGATTTCGATGATATCCCTGGCAGGTGCCTGCGGCGATCCTGCGCTGGCCGGCACGAGTAGCCCGGTGCGCACGTGAGCTGTGTGCAGAGCTAGATGTCTTGATGCACACGCCCACCTTCGGTGCCATGGAAACCAGCTGCCATTTAAGATGTTTGACCACAATGTGTTGCTGACCTTTTCAGTGTATTTGCGCCCCAACCGCTGCACAGGCTAAGAGCAGTATGTTCAACATGGCGACAGTGCGTGAGTACGTTGGCGCGGATGTGCTGAGCCTATTGTCCGTGCCGGTGTTCATCATGGAGCCAATGAGCATGTTGCAGAAGATGGGCGAAGTGCTGGAGTATGCTGAGCTGCTGGATGCGGCGGACGCGGCCGCCGACCCCTTGGAGCGGTGCGAGTGCTTGCGGGGCTGGGGGTTGGCGGTCTTTCGGGCTGATGGCGACAGGCCGGAGGGAATGCCGGTTTACGGCTTCAGACGTGACGGCCTGCACTGCCTGCCTTGATGCATGAAGCTGTAGCCCTTTGCAAGGCAGTCTGAACCTTGGCTGGTCCAGCGATGCCAGAGAGGGCCGCGACAGCTGCACGCTGCTCGCCGCGGTCAGGCATGACTCTCTGATTTGACCCTTTCTTGTCTGTGCGCCACGCAGCATGGCGCTTGTTGCCACTTTCCTTGTGGCGCCTTTTGGCGCCGCCGAGCGCGCATGGAAGCCCTTCAACCCAATGCTGGGGGAGACCTTTGAGCTGGAGGGACTGGGCAAGGACAAGGACGGCCGGTTTTTCGCAGAGCAGGTGTGTAAGAATGCGTGATAGTGTTTGCATTCGTGTGCGCGTGTGAGTGCACACGCATGTGCGCCCGAGCTTGCGGTCTGAGGAGTCTTCTGCTGTTTAGCATGCAACGGCAGTGGGGGCTGCAGCAAGTGCATTTTCACCAGCATCTCGGTACGGGCTGCACTGCCCAGTTGGCCCCGTTTCGAAATATCAATATGTCCTTCTGAGGAGTATGGCGCTGTGCGTGCGGTGCCAACCGTGCAGTCAACGAGCAGCACGACCCTCAAGATTAGTCTCCTGATCGTGAGCCCTGACGCCAATTTTGCCCCTGCCTCGGCCACGCGCGTCTGCTCTGTTCCCAGGTCACCGCGTCCCCTCCAGTGGGCGTCGCGCACAGCGAGAGCCCACGGTGGCAGTATGACATCGTGAGCGCCCCCAAGACGCGCTTCCTGGGCAACTACCTGGAGGTGTTCCCCAACGGCCGCACGCGCATCAAGCTGCTAGGCAGTGGCGAGACCTACACCCACGTGCCGCCCAACGTCAAGGTGCACAACCTCGTGCTGGGCCGCACCTGGATCGACGCCGAGGGCGAGTTTTACGTGTACTGCCCCGAGAGCGGCGTGAAGTGCGTGCTGAACTTCACTCCCTGCGGGTGGTTCAACGCGGGGCGGTACGAGTTCGCGGGCCACGTCATCGACAAGGGCGGCGTCAAGCGCCTGCACCTCAGCGGGCTCTGGTCCAGCCACCTGGACGCGGCGGAGTGCGGCCCAGACGGCGAGCTGCTCCCTGACGCTCCGCGCCGGCGGCTCTGGACGTGCCGTCCCAAGCCCGAGGACGACTACTACGGCATGACCCACTTTGCGCGCCAACTCAACACTTGCGCCGACCTGCGCCTGCCGCCGCTCCCTAGCGACAGCCGGCGGCGGCCTGACCGCGAGGCGCTCGCGGGGCGCCACCTGCCGCGCGCCGCCGCTGAGAAGGGGCGCCTGGAAGCTGCGGGGCATGCGGACGCCGCGCGCCGGGAGGAGGTCGGCTCGCAGTGGGCACCGCGGTGGTTTGAGCCCGAGGAGGGCGCGCAGCTGCTCCCAGGGGAGCTGGACACAGACTGCGTCCCCGCCTGGCGCTGGAAGGCCGGCGGATTCGAGCGGTTGGACGGGCTGCTGGAGGCGGGCGCTGACGAGGCGTCGGCAAAGCTGCAGCAGGAGGCCGGCGCCGACGGGCAGGCGGTGCCCGATGCGGCGGTGTGCGGCCGAGGCTTTGCGCCGTGGGAGTTCCCTGAGCTGCACGCGCACTTGCAGCAGCACGAGGACGCTTCCGCACATGTGCAGTGAGCCAAGGCACTCTTGCTAACGCATGCAGTGCCAGCCCTGGCACCACATTGGTACAGCCAGCATTATCCAGGCAGGTCATGGTGGGGCCCATGCGGTGGACACCAGGTTTGGTGTGCAGCCATAGTGCATAGTGCTTGCGGCCGGCACTGGCGCTCGCAGCCGCCCTGTGTCTACGGCTACGCGCCGCTGCCCCCCATTTCGGCGTGGCTGGATCACTGGCTCAGATGCCTGTATTGCGCCATGCAGTGTAGCAGGGCCTTAAGTGACTTCAGGTTATGTGCAAGGCGTATCTCCCTCGCTGGGCTACATCGTCGGTTTCTTCTAGGTTGCGTCGTCAAATTTGCTCAGCCACCACTTTATTGCAACGTCGTCGGTCATGGGTGGGTCGCGACCGCTTGCATTGGCCTGTGTGCGACCACAGCGCACAGCCCCACGTCTGTTGGTGGGTGCTTGCCGCTGGCCAGTTGCTGCCCTTGATCCCGACCCTGTTCACAGTTGCTTTCAAACTCAAATTTGATTCCTGCCAGACAGCGCCCACCTTTGTTACAATTGCGTGGTTGCGCAGCTAATGTCTGCACGCCAAAGCAGCGGACTGCGGATGGGGCACTGCCTTTGAAACAGGCAGCATTTGCTGTCACCATCACTGTGAGCGGATGGAGCGCTTCATGCTCATTAGGCAGGCCAGCGTGTGTACTTTCCAGGCAATGTTTTGAATGTTGACCCGCACGGGCCTGTAAAAGTTCTCGTCTCCCTCGCCTCTCCCCTGGGTAGGCCCTCCATCTCAAAAGTGCTTTGCCCTCAACAGCAGAGCAGCCGACAGCCCAAGCAGAAATGGTTGTTCAACGATGAAATGAGAGGGGCTGGGTGCATTCAACCTGCCCCCTGCCGCGCGGTGGTGGTACACAAAAGGCGCCTGACATTTGGCAGGCCGGTGTGGTTGCCAGGGAGCGGAGCAGGTGCCGCCAGGTGGGCAGGGACGGGCAGGAGGGCGGGAGCCCGCCGCAGTGCTTTTGGATTTAGTTGTGGCGTCTCGCCCTCTCAAGTACAGTGACACTCGCTCCCCAGTGAACCGTACATCGAAAAGAGTGGCATCAATATAGAACAGTCATGAGCGCCCATGCCATGCTGCTTCTGCCTCAGAAAAATTTGCGCTCGCTCGCCAACAGGCGTGTGCCAGCCACAGCGAGGGGCCAGGGCTGAGCGACACACTTTTGGGGGGGGGGGGACTCGCGCCGCTGGGCACGCTTTGTGGGGTTGCTAGTGTTTGCGGGTTTGCGTCGGTCCTCGCAAACTTGTGCGGATTGATGACTGACGTCTCCTTGTCTCTGCTCGCTCTCTCGTGTGCCATGCTGCTGGCAGCCGACAGCCGCCTCATGGCTGATGCTGGCGGGCGTCAGCCGTGTATTTGGGGCGCTGCGTCGTGCCGCGCCACTGGTACGCGACGCCTCACTCAGAGTCACTCCCCTCGGATGCCAGGCGCGCCCAAGAAGACTCGTGCCACTCGCCTGTGAAGGTGGCATTGCAGCAGGCGCGTGCGGATGGGGGGGGGCAGGGGGGTCAGTGAGATGAGGAGCTGCCAATGGCGGTCCAAAGGGCTCCTATTCCTTGGCTGCACCTGCACCATGTTTGATGCAGTCATAGACCACGCCTGGTGCAGGTCCAACCGTATAGCCAACAGCGGCCATGTGCAACATTCTCGCGGGCGCCGCAGTGTGCCACCAGCCTTGCACCAAACAGCGAGAGTATTGTGCAGGAGGCACGCTGCCTGCGGCCCGCGGGCGCGCGGGTCAAACTGCGGCTGCGGCTGTCCCATCGGTGCGCCCTGCATACGGCACAGACTCACATATGAGCTTGTGATCGAGCTCCAGCTCTTGTCTGGTCACGTTTTCAGGCAGAATTGGGCGCGAGGCGCGCAACGTCTCAAGCAGGCGAGCAGAGCTCCTCGCGCGCTCCTCGCGCGCCCGCAGCTGCTGCACACGGGACATGAGCAGGCCGAACGCATCGTCGTTCCAAGAAATGGGGGAGGACTCGCTGTTCGTCGCCCTGCAGCGCATTGAGGACAGGCGCGGGGACTTGCCGCGACTCTGGCCGTGCCTTTGCCCCACAGCCTGACCATTGCGCTGCAGGAGGCTCATATTGGCTAAAAATGCGCAATCTAACCCCTCTTGATTATCGGAGTGCACAGATATGCTCCCCGCATTGGTCTTGCAGGTTTTGCTGTGTTGAGTCTGCTGGTCTGCCAGCCCGCCGGTTGTATGTACGTAAAGCGTTGAAAATGCGCCCAGCTTTTCACTGAGGTTTGTTTGAAATTGTGCCCTTGCAAGCCAGATCACGGTGTTCAGTTGCATACAGTACGGTAATCTGCGACACCAGGCTCTTTCGCGACCTCGGCTCATGAGTCGAGCGTTTTTCTTCGTTCAGCCACTGCGGGATGTTAGCCTGTCTCGAACGAAAGATGCGATCCTGACGGCGGCAAGCACCGCTGCCATTTCCGAGGGCCCAGGTTGCGGCCCGCCCCACCTGGGCCTCGCCGTCCTTTCACAGAAGCCGAAAGGCGGTGATGCGCGCCTTCAGGTGCAAGCTATCCCACTCTCTTACATCCTGCGGCTTGCAGTGCGGTGCCCGCAACTGCCGCGCTGCGCGTGCTGGGGCGCGCCCCCCTCTCACAGCAACAATACTGCTTTATCGACGCCTCGACGCCGCGCTCTGTCAGCCGCCATCAAAGCGCTTCTGCCCCATATATCACTTATACTGCCCCTCCGTGCAGCTGTTGGTGCGTCCCTCCAAGCTCAACCTGCGAGAGCTCCATGCTGCCCTGGCAAAGCTGCCCGTTGCCGGCGACCCGACGGCCGCTGGCCCCCGCGCGCCCGGCGATGCGGCCGCGCCGGGCGCTGAGGATACCGGTGCTGGCGGCGGCGACGAAGGTCCTGCGGGGATCGGTGCGGCGCCGGCCTCGAAGCCAATCCTGGGTGAGGGTCTCCGCTGCTGCGCAGACGCCTCGTCTGACCGCCCTGCAGCGCCCCTCCTCTTCCCAATCCGCAACCTCCTAGCGCCGCTGACCCCATCAATCACGCAGCACGTATCTGTGCCGCGACCCCACCCAAAGCTCGATTTCATGGGGATGCAGTCTCAGCCCGACCCCGCCTAATGGCGCCCCATGGCCGCCGTCAGTGACCTCCGATTGGCTGCCACGTTGCAACCCCCAACCTTGCCGCCGCACATGCATGCCCTGTGCCGCCCGCCCCTCACAGGCCTGGCCCTCAAGTCAGTCATCGAGCACCTGTGCACCTACCCAGACCATGCGTCACGTGGTGGCCACGTTTTTGCGGTCGCCCACGAGTTCACACCCGACCCCCTGGTGACGCGCGTCTTGCAGGTGACCGCGAGTTATGCTCCGGGCGCCGGCTTGAGGTTGGATGTATATGGCCGCTGGGTGTGTCCAACGGGTGCGCGCCGTGCCCAGCGATTTTTCGCAAGCTGCTGGCGCCAGCCGCGTGGGCCCCCCCCGTCGCGCAGGCCACCGCATTTACAACCGCCCACCAGCCCAGCGACAATAACGGATATGTTTTCCGCGGCCGCTGTGGCGTGCGTGCGCCCGCGCCACCGGCTCACAGGCGTGCGGACGGCTTGGGGTGTCCGTCCACTTCTTTGAGCTGGCAGAACCCTCTGGCGCCGGCGGTGCAGAGGCGCCCGGCGGGGCAGCGCACGTTGCACCGCCGCCGCCGCCGCAGCAGCAGCAGCAGCGGCAGCAGCATCAGGATGCGCGCGCGGCGACTGACCATGATGCGAACTCTGACTCAGCTGCCACGGGCGGCGCTGTGGCGGGCGGCGTGGGAGGCTTTGCGGAGGCCTTGGCCACCGTCCCTGGGGCCTCATACATGCGCCTGACGGCAGGTGGGGGGGGGGGAGGCTGAGGAGGTCGTACCCCCTTGTGCTGGCAACGGGCATCGGCAGCCACCTGTCAGCAAGCTATGGTGTTTGGCCGGAGCATCGGCGCATGACCCCCTCTCAAGCAATGTCCATGCACCCGCAAGCCAGATGGCAGGCGAAGCCCCAGCCACCCCACCGCCACGTCCAGCCGTGGGCGGTCACTGACCGGCAGCACCACCTCCTCACACGCAGACTGCGAAGAGGCCGACGCGCTGCTGAGCGGCACCTGGTTGCGCCACCTGCTGGCGCCGCCGCCGCTAGACCTCACCCTGAAGCTGCCGCAGCAGCTCTGCGGCTCCGACATGGCGTCCCTTCGCACTGTGCCGCGCCTGCTGCAGCTGCGCCCCCTGCTGCAGCCCGGAATGCTGTGCCCCTGCCACGGCCAGCCGCTGCGGCCGCCACCGCCGCCCGCGCCTGGCGGCTGGCTCGAGCTAGGGCGATGGCGATGCGCTGGCGGCGGCGGCGGCGCGCCGCTGGAGGAGGCCGCCGGCGCGTGCACGCCCGATGCGTCCCTGGTTCAGTTTGGCGCCCACACTTTGCTGCGAATGCCCGTGCCGGCGATGGCGGCGGCGGCGCGCGGCTTCTGTCGACCCCTTGGTCTTGGTGAGGCGGTCATTGTGGCGTCCGAGGCTGTCGTGCCGTCCGAGGCGCTGGACGCGCAGCTGCTCCTTGGACCTGCGCTGCTGGTTGTGCCGTCGGCCCCTCCTGCCCAGCTGGCAGGCAATGCGGCTGCAGAGGAGGACAGTGGCGGCGGCGACGGCGGCGACGGCGTGCGAGGGTCAGGGCAGGCCGCCGGCGCAGACGCCAACGCGCGGCGCGTGCGTGCCCTGTGTTCGTCCCTCCGCACGCGCGACGCGATGCTGCTGTGCAGCTGCGAGGCCGACCTGGACGCGCGCCGCTCACTGCCTGTGAAGCAGTGGTGCGCGCTGCAGGCCGGTGGCGAGGGCGCTGCGCTGCTGCTGTGGCGCCTGGCCAGCGCGGAGCAACTGCTGCCACCGAGCGACGACGACGCCTCTGCGGCGGGCGCAACCCCCAACCAATCAACGATGGTTGCAGCGCGAGCGGAAGACGAGGCAGAAGCCGAGGCCCACGCTGAGGCGGCGGCAGAGGCAGAGGCGGCAGCGGCGCTCTCTCTGTTGGATGCTGCCAGGGTAGGCGTCCCCGGCCTTACGAGAGCCGCCTCCGGCGCCGGGCTCATGCCGGCGCTGCCGTTGGGGATTGCGGCCTGGTCGCAGGCCATCCTCCAAGTGAGCACGGCCAGCTACACGCAGCAGCCGTCCGCGCCTGCGGCCCAGGCTGCGCCAGGCGCCGCCAACGGCGGCGGGCCCGCGGCCGAGGGCGGCGGCGGAGGCGGGGTCAGCGCCGGGGAGCAGGAGGAGGGGGGTGGCGGCAAGGGGCCCGACGCCGCGAGCGGTGCGCGGCCTGCAGGGGCGGGTGCACATGGGCTGCGGGCACAGGAGGAGGGTGCGGTCCGCGGCCGGGCAGGCCAGTGTGGAGACGCAGGCGGCGGCGGCGGAGACGGGGCTGGGCAGCAGCACACGCGGCACACAGAGGGCGCCGTGGGTGGGGGCCAGAGGCGGCTGCGGCTGGCGTCGTCCAGCGGGAGGGCAGGCAGTGGCAGCAAGGGCGGCAAGAGCGGCAAGGGCGGCCTGAGCCTCAGCCGTATTGGCGCATGATGCAACGAGTATGCCGCGTGTGTTGAGTGTGAGGTCCAATTCGCATGCGCTTTCCCTCCGTGGCCTTACATGGCCTTGAATGCAATGTGGTGCGCGTCGCGGCCCCTGCCCTGGCCCAGTCAGAACAAGTCAAATCATAAGGGGCGGTCCTTGAGAACAGATCCATTATGTGGTGCTGAGAGCGGCTAGGCACACCAGAAATCAAGTACTCCAAAGATTCTCAGGCTGTCTATGAATGCACAGACCTGCCCTTTCCATGCTCGTCAACTGGAGAAGTGTTTCGGCACCGGCGTCACCCATGCGCTTCTGGCTCGCAGTGCAGCGATCGGCAAGTCTGTTGTCAGCAAGGTGCGGTCACGTGACATGTTCACGCGCTCAAACCCTCAAGAAGCCTACTCTGCTAGCCACCAGATCAAAATGCAGACCGTAGCGCGTACCCAGCGGGCGTTCGGGGCCCCGAGCAGCCTGATCAAGCCCAAAATCAGCACAAGCGTGTCTCGTGCTGTTGTTGTGAAGGCAAAGCAGCAGCATGACGCCGCGCTGAGCAGTCGTCGGGAGATCCTGGCTGGCTCCACCTTGGCCGCAGTTATGCCGGCGTTCCTGGCGCAGTTGCCGGCTAAGGCTGACTCTGGTGGGCTTCCTGGCGCGAGCTGACCTGCAATGGCTGCCCGATACCCGGCCAAGACCTGTGCTCGCCGCCCACTGCCTGGGCGCCGCTGCAGCGTCAGCAGGGGCGGCCGCGCATCGGCAAAACCTTGTGTGCCCTTTGCGCCGCATTCTCATGCGCAGAGTACAAGACCTTCCTGGGCCTGGCCTCACCCCCTACCAGCTACGGCGGCTATGGCGGCAACGCCAACGAGGAGCCAAAGTGAGCGCTCCGGCGTGACTCGGCTTGGTGACACGACGGGGCAGCCGGGCTGTCAAGCCGCGCTGCCAGCTGGGAAGCCGAGCACATGTATCCTCAAGGCCGACGCCCGGGATACCGACGCCCTGCGCAGCACTTCGCGCAGCCGGGATGCCACACGCAGCGGTGATTTTCTACGCGCAGCAGGGCACTGTCGTGCGCGCTGCCTCCACCGTGCTGCTGGGTGGCCCACTGCCCAGCACAGCGCCACTCACATATCGCTCTGTGAGCTCAGGTTGGCACTCCGACCTCTCCGAACTTCAAAATTAGGTACTCTTTTGAATACCCTCCTGAGTGGAAGTCGGAGGTCCCCTCGAAGGTGCGCGCAGGCAGCATCGAGCCAGCCAGGGATGCGGCAGCGCCGAGACCCGTCTGGCGAAACGCGCGAGCGAGCCGCGGGTCTTGATTGGCGGGGGGCCCCAGCGACGGCGTAGCCAATTACAGCAGCAGGGCCTGCGGAGCGCCCAGGGCGAGGCCGGCAGCGGCATGGTGCTCGAAGGGGGCGGGCCGGTTGTGGGCTTGCGACGGCTCGCTCAATGCGCCCCCCTGACAGGTGGAGAAGGGCACCCAGGGCGTGGACGGCCGCGTCGTCAACCCCAAGGGCAAAGGTACGCAGACGCCGCCGCCCGCCTGCCCGCCCACTCTCGCGCCTGCGCTTCGCTGGTTCCCAGAACAAACGCCGCAGGGCCGCGGCTCCGGCTGCCGCAAACGCACAACTCGTGGGCGACCACAGCCGCCCGGCACCCTGCCGCCGCTCTCTCCTCCGCGGCTCCCTTGTCCCTGACGCCCCCCCCCCCCGGGCCAATCCCATCCGTTGGCCCCCAGACCAGCGTGCGTTTGTGATCACCCTGGGCCGCGCGGGCGAGGACAACAAGAGCTTCCGGCTGACTGACCTGGACTCCACCTTTGCTGGCTTCGCGGGGGCTGACTACTACCTGCAGGCGCGCACAGGGGCAGGGGTGGAGGGTGGAGGGATGGGAAGGGGCGGGCGCCGGGCTGCAGGGAAGGAGCCTCGCTTTTGATCTGGAGCAGGCGTCCGCACAGCGCAAAGCGCGACCCTGCCCTGCCCTTGCGGGTTGCGGCGCGGTTCTGGGCTTGGCAAGGAGGGCCTGCTTCCGGGGGCGTGCGGATTGCCGGGGGCCTTTGGCTCCCCGCGGCGCCGCGGCAGTGGCTTACCCCTCCTTTGAGCCGCGATCGGTGCTGATGCGGAACAGAAACCTTTCCTCACCAGTGGCAACAGCACCCAGCACCCGCAATATCGTGCAGCCCTTGTAGGGGCGGCCCTGTGTAAGTCCTCCCCGTTCCCGGTCTCCTCCCTTTTGAATCATGCAGGACGCCCTGTCGTCCGCCAGTGACATCACCCGCACCCAGCGCCAGGCCGACGGCATCACCTTTTACGAGTATGACATCGACTCGCCGGTGAGTCGCCGCGTGCATACATCACTCTCCTCTCCTCACCTCAATGCGATGCCACGTCGGGTAATCCTGCAGCGCCGCGGTAGGACCTTGCTTCCCTGGCTGAGCGGCACACATTGCACCACGCGTCGAGCGCCAGAACGCGTCCGGCACCCCCTCCTGCCTCTCCCCTCTACCGAGCTCACAACCCTCGTCCCTGACCTGCCATGTCCTAGGGTTTGGGGTTTGGTGGTGGTGGGGGACCCCCCGCCACCACCACCCTCGCAACCCCCTCAACCCCCTCCCTATGTAC